AAGCCTACAGCAAGCAGCCCACATTTGCCCCCATCCTCCACTGGCTCTGTTCAGCTCTGCTTTGGCTGTGCCACAGGGGGTTGGGGGTGGGGGCGGGGAAGGTGGGCATACGTCCTGCCTTTCCATTTTGAAAAGGTGGTCACCCTAAGCTTAGCACACAGGAAGAACATAGTGCTTTAATGGGCTCAGTTTGTGCTCTGAGATGGCTCTGTCTCCTTCCCTTTTGGGTGGGTGGTGTCTAATGTGGGGTGGTGGGGAGGTAGGGGAATGGTCCCCGCACACCGGGTGTGAGAGATATTATTGCAAGCAGACATGTCTTGGAGAGTGCATGGGATGTTGTGGGGAGACATTTTGTGCTCTCCCTGACAGCAGTCACGTGGTTATCAAGCAGGACAGTCTTGTGACTATAGTGCCACTTCCCTACGCCCAAAATGGCTTTTGTTTAAATCTGTGTATTGTGTATTAAGCTCAATCAAAGTAAGAGTGGGGAAATTGGGGATTTCACACAAGTTCCCCTTCCACAAATGTGCCTTGTTTTGGCTTCTGGATGTAGTATTTTTATGTCACGTTCTGCAATGTTCAGAGTCCGAACTCCTTGGTCTGGGCTTGCAATAGCTAGTGAAGTTCCTCTTCCCATCAGCACTCGTCAGTGAAAGCTGCTGCTTCGAAAGGAAATCAGTGAAACCCACTGATTTCCTTTCTCAAAACCTGACAGACTGTTCAGTGGGGAAGTGAATTTCAGAGTCTCTTCTTCTAAAAAACTCAACAGCTAGAGTATGCTGCCACTGTCCAAACTGGCCCCATGCACACAACTCCTGGGGTTTAACAGTGGTTGAGTTGGATTTCCACATGTGAATTTGCATCTCTGCTATTCCTTCTCTGAACCGGAAAGGCCGGCTGCCCTCTAGCAGGGTTCCTTCTAGACAGGTCATCAGGTGGTGTTTCCACTGAGGCTCAGCCTTGGGATTGCTGCTAGCAGAGGGGTAACTGGGGCTGCTGTGTTCCAGAGATGCCTGCGTATTTTCCACCACTATTACAATGACTTGTTGTCCCTTCCAGCATGATTTATTCATTATGCAATATTCCTATTGAAGCTACCTTCTATGCAGTGACAGCAGAGCGATACCGTTTCTGAATGTCTTCAAGAAAGCTGAATCCTGAAAGAGTTAAAAGGGGGAAATGCCCTGCTGGCATCCCCATTCTAGTATCTTAGGGTGTTTGTAGATGACACTTTAAAGTGGATTTCAGGTGGGTTAAATGCCTTTTGCACTGCTTTAATGGCCCTGCTGTTTGCACATTTGGCAGTGTATTGTGCCCTAAATGACTTTGGGATGCAGCAAATGACATTGGCACGCTGCAAAGGAAAACACCTCCGAGGAGTTTTGGTTTCCTACCCTATGGCCATGGAGGGAAGCACGGGGCTCCGTGCGGCTCAGGGGCTGTGCAGGCAGCCCGGCAGCAGTCTGGGAAGGCAGGCTCCACAGAAGGGAAAAAAGAAAGCGGGGAGCCTGATCCCCCCACCTTGCAGAGCCTGCCTGAGCTGTGAGGGCCTGGTGCTTCCCTCCACAGGTGCGGTGCCCCCCGGCACTGGGTGCCACCAGGGGGTGGGGGCTGCCACTGCTGCAGGGGGATGCATCTCCACCCCCCGGCAACTCACTCTTCCTTCCCTGCTGCTGGAGAGGCAGGTAAGGATTGGGTGGACATGACACGGCGGTTGTCTTTGCCCTAAATCGAAGCAGTGTTTTTAGGGAGAAGTGCTTCAATTTAGGGAGAATTAAACCCCCATGTCGTGTGCAAATGCCCTTCTTCAGCATATCCTTGTGAAAAGTATTTATTTCCCATTTGTCAACACAATTTGTAACAATACCCTTGCAACAACCTCTCAGCGTTGTTGATATAGAACATTGTGGTAGTGGTATTTCTTATGCCTCGTTTCATTCAGTACCTACACTGTCAATCACCCCAGCGACAGGGATAAGTCATTCGTCTGCTTGGCGCAACCCAGCCCAGAAGATGAGAGCCAGAATCACCCAGTAGTGCCTATGATATTGTGACTTTTGTACTTACTGTAACAACATTGTGTTTTGCCACCACAAACGTACCCCTAGTGTAGGGGTCAGGGGTCCAGAGCATCCTTATTTGGGATCACGCCTGGCAATAATGGAAGAGCAGCATCCTTTGCCAACGCTTCCCTCTGTAAATGCACTGGACAATTATATATGCAAAGACAATGAGAATGAACTTTTGCAAACCAGCAAATAAAGAGTGCAGAGGAAGTCAGCAAAGCAGGGGGTTGGGTTCCTGAAAGTGAAAGCCAGGAACTGACCCCGAGGCGAATAGGAGCATGTGAGCTGTGCACCAGGCCTCAGGATCATCACAGCTGGCATGGCAACAGAGGGTCAAGCAATCAGGTAAGGGCTTTACTTCTCCAGCTCCTATTTGGGATGGGTCTGCTTCTCCCTGAAAGGCCCTTTGCGAGAGCCGTTTTGTTTTACTTTCATTTCAGCATGCTGGCTCCCTGCTTGCATTGGGGTTGGGGGTGTGCCTTTGAAACGCACTATTAGGAGGATTGGGAACTGGGCACATGGGACGCAGAGATCTGGAAGAATGCCTCCCTCCCGTTATACGATCCACAAATTAACTTTTCCTCCTCTGAGCAAGACAGAAATCCCCTGGTCTGTGATCTTAGGAGTCCACTTTCTACCTCTCCGAGGAAGTCAGGAAATCTTTCTTGTTTACGCACAAATCAACCCTTGAGGCTTGGGAGAGATCTTCCGTGACGGCAAATATTAGTGGAAAGTGTTTGTTTAGAGTTTGAATGGGAAATGGCAGGGCTGAGTGAGTCACAGGATTTTAAGCACAGAGCAGATGATCTCTGAGTTGGGTGCAAACAGCTTTCACAACAACAGGTTTGCATAAGAAATGTACTGGGGAAGGACAGGGCCACGATATCTGCATCCAGGATCTGACATTAAATATCTTTTAGGGCTTAAAATGATAGAAGAGGAGTCACCTTCTATTCTCTATACTAAACTTTTCCACTTTCAAGGCATGTTGAAAGGGGCCACATCCTGTGCTGGTGGAAACAGACACAGTTCCTCTAAAATTATGGTCCATGTGGGCATGTCCACACATGCAGGCATGTATGCTTGCAGCAGCTCAAACAGGAGTGGCACAAATTTGTGCCAGGGATTTTTGCCTAATTGCACGTGCTTGGACACGCACTTTGGTGTAGGGCACGTTGTGCAACTTGGGGCAAAATGACCCTGCCCAGCTCCTCCTGGATCTGCAGCCAGGGGGAACTAGGTCCTGGGGCCAGCACTTGTGCTGCCCCCAGCTGTATAAAAACCTGCCTTGGTGAGCAGCTCAGGGCTACTTGCCCGCAGGAGTCTCTTGGGCCCAGCCAGTTGGTATCTGGGGACAGTACTGCTTGTGCCAGCTGGACTGCTGAAGCAGCCCTGACCTGGAGTGGCCCCTGCACCCTTTACCCACTGCAGCAGTCTGGCAGTGGGGGCTGCTGTCTGGCTGTGACCTACTTCCACCTATGACAGCCTCCATCCCTTTGGACCTGCAGCCCCATGGCTGCGCACCTGCCAGACCCAGATGGGGTGCCCCTGCTTTGCCATCTGGGCAGCTATTGCCCAGATGATGTGCTCCTTGTGGTGGCCCACTTTGAACTGTTAAAGCGTGTCCTCTTGGCCCTGAATGGCCAAGAGGTCAGTCACCTCACCTGCCCTGGGTCCCTGGTGCTGGCCCTGGACAGGCTCCTCTGCCTGGGTCTCGCCACTTGTCTCACCAGCAGAGATCCTGGTGTTCTCTGTTTAAAAATTGCAAAATCTTTGATAAGAAAACCAAATTCTCTCATTAAAATACCCAAAATAGTGTTCTTTCGCTATTAAAATGAAATGCCGAAATGCCACTATTTATAGAGATCAATGTTTTATTGATATATTTAAAAGTGTAAAGCAATTAGGAAGCCTAGCAGTGGCTCTATCATCATAATAAAATGGATTCTAAATATCTATACACTCTGGCATTTACTTCTGTTTTTCTTGTCATAGAAAAATCAGAGCTGCCCCCTTTGCTCACCAGGATGTGCAGTGCTGAGCAGTACTGATATGCCAATGCCACGACCCTGTCCTTGCCTCTCACTCTCAACCCACAGCTCCCGCCCCACAGTCCCCTCACTCCTGACCTGCAGCCCCTTCCCCCCCACTAGCTCCCTCACAGCTGCAGCTTTGTCCCAGTACCAGGACATGAGTCCTGCTGCAACTGTCCCTCCTGCTGCTTTTTGGCTCTGAGCAGTGCCAGCCCTTGCTCTTCTGCTCCCTGCCCCATACTGTCCCTGGGAAGCCCTTGACTGGGGATCAGGGACTGAGCTGGGCTCTTTCCTCCAGGACTGGTCTCCCCCTGCATAGGCTGCTCTAGTGGGGCAGAGCCCAGCTCTGGTGGCCTCTCCTACCAAGAGCACTCCTCCACCTCACCCTCTAGTCCATCATACTCCCCAAGTGGCCTTGAGCCCCTGCCGAGCTGGGGCCATATGTCCCAACATTAGTGTGGGCACAGGGCAGGGCTGCAGTGTGGCACTTGCTTCTGCAGCCACAGCTCCCACCATCAGGTCCCGTCAGGGTGTGAGATTTGGTGTGGGG